AATATCAACAGTACAATGACTGAAATTCTTTTTGAGAGCCAAATTTTTTTTTTTTTAAACTTCTTTTAACACCACTTCTTCAAAATAGACTTGCCCAGGCCGTGGTATTTTGTAGAAGAGCCACACTCAAGGGGCCAAAGAGCCTCATGTGACTCGCGAGCTGCAGTTTGCCGACCACTGTATCTAGACCGTGCGCACCAGGAACCCTGGCAGTCCTTTGCTCCTTCTTCATCACTCTGCAGTCGCCTCTAAGACGAGCGTAATGGGAACTACTACTGTTGCCTTAGTCTGTCTTCCACTGAAGAGCCCCTCTCAGCTATAACAACTTCTTAGGAAATTTTCATGTCTGAAGGTCCAGTTTGTGACTTACCTCCTCAAGCTGACAAAATAGGAAAAGCCACAATTACTGTGCAGTGCGCAGGGTAGTGCACACCCAGGAGGGGAGACAGGCTGCCCCAGAAACTCACAGCACTGGCAGAACAGGAGTTATCTACTTGCAGAATAGGCCTCTGAGGAAACGTCTCTGCTTTCCTTAAAGGTGCCAAGCCATGATTCTGCAGCCACCCATCCACCCAGTGTTCCACCACGGCTGGTAGCTGTAATTACCTGAAAAGGCTGAAAATGGGCTAAGCTTTGTTCACAACCTTCGTGTGAAGTGACTAAGAAGGCTTGATCAATAACCCACATTAGCTTTATATGATCATTCCAGAGGAAAAATGTCTCGATTCTGGTAGAATTCATTCTGCTTTAAATGCTTTCAGTGTCATCTCTAACTTCCTCTGCTATATGCTAGTTGTTTACAGCAAGCAGATACCCAGCTAGTATTGATGAGAGTGGACCTGTGTCTGAGTTTAAAGACTTTGTCAATAGGCACTGGAACTAGGCTGCCGGCCCTTAGGTCCTGCTAAAGAACCCAGGCTAAGAAAATCCTATGGCAGCTGAGAATGACCTAAAGAGGAAGCCTGCCCATTGCCCAGTAAGCTGTTTTCATGCCCACACTGGTGTTACTTGTGACTGCTGAATATTAATAGGTTAATATCTCAAGATAACCTATCTCTACTTGAACTTAAGGATTTATAAGATCAACTTGCATCTAGAAACAGTTATCTTTGGTCGAGTGCCTATCACGTACCAGGTGCTGTGTTAAGACTTTTGCATAAATCATCACATTCAAATTTGCATCAAAAGCATGTTGTAATAATAACTGCTAACATGTTAAACCATCACTATATGTCAGACTGTATTGACAGCTTCACACCATTTGATGTGACCATTACTTCTATCCTTCCCTAACAAAAGAGGAACTGTTTGAGTCCTAAATGGGCTAGCAAGTCATTCCTACCAGGATCACTTGGGAAGGTTCTCCCTAGGGCAGGCTTGATCCTGGCAGAGCCATTAGAACACTTCTTTTGGATTACTTACTTTTATTTGTACTGCTCTGTATTTTCTAAGTCTTATATGATGAGCAATTTTTAGAGTAAGTGTTCACAGAATACTTAATATGTTCTCATGTTAAACACTCAACTACACAAAGCCACATCCTTAAAGTTCTTGCTTTTTTCTCCTCCACTCCAATCTCTTTTCCAGAGATAACCAGTGAGACATTTGTATTAATTCCTCTAGACATGCATTTTCCTATAAGGACATGACTGTCCACATGTGGCTATTCAGCACTTGAAATGCTCTAATTAAAATTTAAATGTGCTTATAAACATAAAATATACATGATATTTAAAGACTAAGTATAAAAATATAGTGTAAATTATCTAATAATTTTTAGAGTGATTACATATTGAAATACTTTTTTGGATATATTGGGTTAAACAAAATATAGTATTAAATTAATTTCATCTGTTTCTTTTTACATTTTTTAAATACAGTTATTAGGGCATGTGGCTCACATTACATTTCTATTGGACAGTGCTGCTCTAGGTTATTTTAGTACATTTATGCACTTATTTTTACACAGAAATACATATTTTTGGTGTTTTCTAACATAAATATGCATTACTTTTACATTTGAATTCAAACATTTTCCTTAAAATAAAGAAGAATAATTTTTACATGCATTGGACATTACAGTAATTCCCCCCTTTCTTTTTCTCTTCCTCTTCTCTCCAAACCCCAACCCTCATACTTCTTGACAATCTACAAAGCCTCAGAGTGAGGATAGCAATAATAATTGTTGGCCATACAAATGCTAAAGCGAGCACACCTAATATTTGGTAATATTCAACACAGGGTTATCCCCTTATTGGATAAAGGAAAAGGCCAGTCAGTGGACAAGGCTTTGGAGTTAATGGGTCCTAGACAAAGATGTGGAAAATGGCTGTATGGCCAAAAGTGATGGGTAGTTTTAATTAACTAGATCCAAATTTGCTTTTCTTACCGTGTCATCTCTTTCAGATATTTTTTTGGTAATAGACATAGTTTATGTTGCGTGACTGTGTACTACTATAACTACTTTCTTTTTAAAAAAAATAGATTTTATTGATTCTCTACAGAGAGCATGGGAGAGGGAGTTAGAAACATCGATGAGAGAGAAACTCCTCACTGGGGATGTGTCTGCAACCAAGTTACATGTCCTTGACTAGAACCGAACCCGGGACCCTGGAGTCTGCAGACTGACGCTCCATTCACTAGCCAAACTGGCCAGGGCTATAACTACTTTCAATTTGATCAATATTGCCTATAAAGTGCCACCTCATTCAGCTACTGAATCTTAATAGTTGCTGAAACATGTGACTCATGTGATCCTTACTTTGCTAAGTTCTAACTAGTTAAAGGAATATTGCAAATATTTTACAATGTACCTAGTAGCTTTTACTTTGTCTAAGTAAATATCTGACAATGAATCAGTTCAGTGGAACATGCAAAAGAAAGGATCCCAAACAAGTGCCTCTTTCTTCCCCACTTAAAAAACAGCTGCATGCACATAAACAATTTACACAGAGTGCACTCGTGTAAATGAGCTGGGAACACACACACACACACACACACACACACACACACACACACACACACACAGCCTTCTCATGCTGGGCTGGAAGGCTGTTTACCATGTCCTAGCAAGGCCTTCACACATGCAAAACATTAACAGCTCTTACTTGGCCTCAGCGTAGAACCTCATTGAGGGCAGAGGAGAGAAAAGACCATTAGGTATGAGCAGAGATGCTGTGACAACTCATTATTTTCATCCTGTGAGCACTCCTTGGTGCTCTGTGCCATGTGTGTCCCTCTGGTTTACATGCTGCCTTGATAAAGGGCTGCGGTTGAAGGCATGTTTATTCCTTTTCTTATTCATTGCTGCTCTAAGACCAGCTTCCTAATTGGTAAAATGAAGAATTGTATGGGGAGTTCCAAAATTTACTCCTAGCTGGTAATTCTCCCAGTCTAACAAATAAAATTTCCCTTGTGCAGATTCCATAGGCGTTGTTTTAAATGCTCCATGTTGATAGGTATTTCTTTCATTGCCTCCTATTCCTCACCATCTTTCCCATCATTAAGGAAGAATAGAAAGAAAGTAAAACAGAAACAAAGACTAGGGTAATGCAGGGATTTTCAACCTTTTCTGAAGTGCTATGTATCACTGCAATTAAGACAATCTTTTGAAACTTGAAAAAATCTCCCTCAATTAGGAAGGACTTCACTTGAGTAGATACCATCTGCTGTAGGGGGCCAACCTTGTCCTCCTCAGGCCTTGGTAGCTACAGGTGAGTAGGTGCGGGGGAGCCCCTCCCCCCTTCCCCACCACCACACTACTCCCCAAGAAGCTGGCAGGGAGCTCTCAGCAGTATCAGCAGGCAGGAAGTGGGGTGGGAGTGAGGGGGTCTCCACCCACTAGCAGCTGCTTAAGTAGCAGGCAAGGGGACTCTTCTACAGAGGAATTCAGGTCAGCAGATTCTCCAAACCAATTTAAACCACATGCTACTCAGTTGTGGAATTAAATTAAAATGCTAAGAAAGGATCTGGAATACCAACCCCCTTATTTTTTTCCTCTATCTTGTGCTTGACACCCAAAAGAATAAAGCAAGAACAGTTGGATTTGGCGGGTTAGCAGGAATGATTAGGCAACTGGAAGGAAGTGAAGGCAGCACACACCTAGGTAAGCTGTCTTCACAGAACATTATGTACCAGTGATTAAATGTCAAGACCCATCATTGTCCAAGTAGTGATGTCTACACAGGTTTAGTAACTTGCTCATTCAGACTTAACCAAAAGACAAACTTGACAGATTATCAGAATCTTTGAAGGAGGGCTGTGGGTGGAGTAGGGAAAGGAGTGAGGTAATTTCTAAAAATGACTTCATAAATTTTTTAGAAACACAATAATACTATCATCTCAGTGGTTTTTGCTATAGTCCTTTCTAGTATAATGTGAAATACAAGTGTTGCCAAATGTAGGGAAAACATTTCCAAATAAATCATTTTACATTACATCAAAACTCTAAAATAAAAGTGTGTAAACATGTATTTGTTCATCAGACTTTAGAGCATTTATTTTTATTTATTTTTTATTGTCTAAAGTGTTACATACGTCTCCTTTCCCCCAACTGACCCCCCTGCCTCCAGCCATTCCTAACCCAGGCAAGCCGCATGGCATAGAGCATTTTTGTTAACATTTTCCTTGTGGGAGAAATTTGACTTTTTCTTAAGCTACTTCTTTAACAATAATTTTATATGACTTAGCCAGGGATAAGAACTGGGTTCATAAATTTAAAAAAAAATATTTTTATTGATTTCAGAGAGTAAGGAAGAGGGAGAGAGCTAGAAACATCAATGACAGAGAATCATTGATCAGTTGCCTCTTGCCCGCTCCACACTGGGGATCCAGCCCACAACCTGGCATGAGCCGTGATGGGGAATTGAACTGGGACCTTTTGGTTCATAGATTGATGCTCAACCATTGAGCATGCGGCTGGGCTGGGTTCATAAGTTTTATATATACTTTTAACATTTTTCTTACATTCCTTCAATAATAGGAAAACTTTAAATGATTACCTCTGTAAATGTGTTCCGATTAGCTTGCAAGCCAACTTTTACTACTTCGAAAGGGTTAACCACGATGGCTTCTGTCAGTCCACACCCTAGTCCAGCAATGGCGAATGTCTAAACATTTAAATAAATCAATACTTTAAAACAAGTTATCCTGTGTACTGTGTTAAGCATCCTACTCACAATACAGTGTAACTGAATGTTATGATGTAAATGGAGAAACTTACATAAATGCACCATATACCATTACTAAACAGCTCTAGTTCTTGATTAGATGCTGACAATTCATGAAGAAGAAATTACAGAAGCCACAAACCACATCCTAACAATTCAAAATAGAACGTCAAGACCCCATCAACAATGACTTTTTCCTTTAATGAGAAGAAAGGTTGTTTTACTGATTTAAGGTGAATACTAAATCATCTGCACATGGAACAATTAAAAGAGTGTTTGACTTGTAAAAAGAGAGCTTCATTTTAAAATATCTACTTAAATACATTTATTGGCCAGATTAAAAAATTCAAGGAGCAGAACCACAAATAAAGTGTTTAAAAAGGTAACATTTTAGGTAACTAAACAATACAGCTAAAACATTTAAATTGACAGCTGTATTCTTAGAGTCACTATTCTAGACTACTACCCCCCAAAAATAATTTTTTCTTTATCCTTCCCCTATTTTATAAACAGCAGACAATTGCACTAGTCTTCCAGACCTAGAAGCTGAGGAATGGAACCAGAAATGGCTGTTTTTCTGAAGGTCTCAACTAAAATCTAGAACATATAGCAAATGACTTATTTGCTATCTCTTAAGAATTTCTGCAGTAGGGAAAAATTTTTTCTAGACTTTTTCTGTAAATAGAACACAAAGATTTTTCAGAAAATCTGTATAAAAAATAACCACAATAATTAAAACACACACACACACACACACACACACACACACACACACACACAGCAGGAAAACAAAATGAAACAAAGCCTCAAATCTGCAAAACAGACGCTAAAAAATTAATTCTTTAATTCCAAAGCCCTAATTCTCAGAGAAGAGGTAATACTATATACAACTAAGAAGAGAAAAATTCCAATTAAGAGTAAAGAACAGATAACTCTTTTCAGAAGTTTTTATTTCTCCCAATAGGAGACTAAAAGAAAAAAGGGACAAAGGAATGTTCTATAACCTCAGAAGGGGAGGCAAGGATCCAGAGCTAGCAGGTCTGGGTTTAGGCCCTGGTTCTACCATTTATTGGTTGATGTGGACCAGTGCTGGCAAGTGTATTAGTTTGTGCACAAAGGTATGTGTAGAGCCTGCAGTCCAGCCTACACCCCACTTGCCAAGCTGGAGCCCTGGAGAGGTGTCAGTCAGAAGAAGGGGGTGCCTTTTTGCAATTCACATAAAGACACCACATGTGCTAGTTGCAGCCCTGTGTCTAATCACTGAATCTTCTGTGAGCCACAGTTTTCTCATCTGTGAAATGGAGGAAATCGCGTCTAATCTCCCTACCTAATCAGGATATTTATGAGGGTCAAAAATCATGCATGAATGCCCTGTGTCAAGTGCTTTACAAAAACCATTCATGCTGCACATGCAGATGGACAGGAAGAATGGTGCTGTATGCAGACTCCAGGAGAGAGGGAGTACCGAATCACGTTTTTCTCTCATGTTCCTTCATTTCCATCTTAAACAGGTTTGTACAGGGTAACAGATCAAATACCTTTTCATGTACTTTGGGCTTCCATCATGGAAGCCAAAAGCAGGGGGGGAAAAACACTAGTCCCAAACTTTTCTGACTGAAAAAGCGAAAATCCAGATGTTCAGGTTTTTATTACTATATGCAATCTTCCAAGTAATTCACTTTTTTTTTTTGTTCTATAAACTCAGCTACATTTGCTGTCAGAAATAGTGTTCAGCAGTCCCTTGTCAAAAAAATTGATCAGCTATCAGCAGATCATGTTACTCAGATCGTTCCAGAGACCAGCAGTAACGGTGGGGTTTCCAGCCTCCCAGGCTTTCCATGTGGGAGCACCAGGAACATTTAATGCTGTTTAAGGGTCTAGCTGTATCAAAAAGAAACTGGAATAAACGAGTTCAAGAGAAAAGGGAAAACTGTATACAGTTTACACGCATTCGGTTATGGTAGCCGGAGTGGCCAAATGCTTTCTGTTTCAATTCCCAGAGCAGAGAGAGCTGCATTTCCTCACACGGTACCGATGCTCCGCACAGGAGCCACCAGCTGGCCCTCTGGAGACCACATTTCGTTGTCTTCTGCTAGAAAGGTTTTTAATTCTCTTCTTTTTAAAGGTCAGAGCGACATTAAGGGGAGACACTAAGGAATTAAAAAAAAGAATAACTGGCCTAATTTTAGGACTCATGGTGCTACTTCTTTCATATGAGGCCACCTCAGAGCCAGCTTGTGTAGGTGGGAGACTAGACAAGAGGTTTCTTTGTCATGACACTGAGTTATACCAGTAGTTCTCTTAATAGGATCATTCTTGAAAAGGGACATGCACGGCTTTTTAAACAACAGATACTTCTTGGACAGCCTATTTGGCAAAGCAAATATTCTGAAATGAACCTTCACACGTAAAGTCATGAGAGTTGAAGCTCAGAACACTGCCTCTGGTTGAGCTGTGAGGTGCTTTCAGCAGGCAAACGAGGGCAGTTTTCAATCGAAGGCCAATACGCATTTGACTTTGTTTTGTTTTGCGAGTGCAAAGGGAGAAATGAGTGCATTTGCTCTCTCTGGGGCTCTCTTGCACACACAGATATTGTGCATGTACTTGGTCAATATCACTTAACTCGTTTTGTGAAAAGCCGCAAAGCCACCAAGAAGGAAAGGAGGCAGTAGGAAACATTTGAATTACCAAGTGGTTTTCATGTAATAGTTGAGATGTGTCATTGTTAAGATCACTGGACTATAAAAGGTTCTTCAGTCTGCATCTGACCACAGAGTCACCTGAAGCCGTGAATTTACTACAGCTAAGAAAAAGCTGGGGAAGTAACCAGCTAGGAAGTAATTTTAGGCATCTTGACTTTTGCATAGATATGTGCAGTGTGTAAACATGCATGTTTTGGCTTTAAAAGAGTCTTTGACAAATGTATTCTTTATTTTACATTCTTGGCCATATATCACATGAGCCTTTCTACACATATCATTATTATAATAAATTCATCACTGGGTGCTATAAAATAGCCAAATTGTGAGTTATTAGGAAGATGGCTTTCAACAAGTAGCTGAACATTGAATAACTCGAATTCATATTTTAGTAGTTGGGCTTGGGAATTCAAAAGGCTTTTTGTTTCCAGATTTTGTTTTATGAAATAACACACACACACTCAAGTATAATAAATATTCTCACTTACCAATGCTGGTGACAGTGACACATATCCTAGCAATTTCTTATATTGCTCAAAGGTGAAAAACTGTGAAACAAAACCAAACCCAGAGATTCATAACAATTTCCTGCAATAAACCCTGTAATTGACTCAAATTTCTTTAGTGAATCATTATATTAAGCAGCATTTAAAAAAATGATAAACTATTGAACACAGTTTCTAACCTGGTCTTTGGTAGACGCCGTTGGATCTTACTTTAACATTCACATTTTCAAATGCAGCTATAAAACCTACAGAGGAGCTGATGAGATCCTTTATAGTAGTAAATGGACCATACAGCCTCCATTTACCATGACCATTTTCAGTTTCCCCAGACATCAATAGACTTCTTTTTTATGGCAGTGATTCAGAATTATAAGCATAGAGACCTCGAGCCTTGAGTCTCCTCTGTAGTCTCTATGAATTGCTTTGCCAGGGAATGCCCAATTATCTACCCAACGTGTAAAAGACAGCCACTTCTCAGCTTCACTTGCATTTGTATTGCTGTGCACACCTACTGTCCCAAGAAATTTCCCAACACTCAGTGATGATGAAGATGTCATTATAAACTAGGAAAGGACGCAGTGAGGTCATCCAGTCCATTCCTGCTTAAAGGCAGACTGTTCACCTGAGCGGAGGACAGCTGCTTATTTCTTCCTTTAAAATATGATGATGATGATTGTGTTGGCTCCTCCAGTAGATGATGCTTAATTTAATTTGCCTGAAAATGAGTTTCTAGGGATTCAAATTAATCACTTTAAACAACATGCCCTAAATACATTACCCCCCTCCCCCCCCTAAACATTTTGGGCAACAACTCTGCTTGAACAGGATGCTTTACTCCTGTTAGGCAGCCACAAGCAACTTCGATAAGGCATCTTAGGTCCTGCTAGTCTGTTTCTTAAGACTCCAGTAATGGCCTGGGTATTTTGTAATCACATATGTATTCTATTCTATTATTTTTTAACCCAGTGAAATGAAGCAAGAAAGAAATATATAGAGTTGGGGGCCAAATAATACTCTGTTGTTAGAAAGAGGAAGTTCTGCGGTGTGGATGTGGCTCACATGGGTCTTTGGGCACCCCAGAGGTCATTACAATCCCAGATAGATAGCCAGTCTTTTAAAGACCCAGGAACTACTTCTGTGTCATGCTTCTTTAGGAAAAGTATGTTTATAGTCTTTTCTAGAAATGGGATTCCTTCATTCAACAAGTATTTTCTTGGATGCCTCCTATGTTCTAAGAGGCACGGGGAATGCAGTAGTAAACCAAGATAAATCCTGCCATCTTGATCTAACACTGGCGATAACCTTGAACTAATATTCTGGCATTACAATAATACCATGAGGGACCACCACTTTTTTTTTTTTTTGATGAGAGCTGCACTAGAAACCACTAATCGTGAAAGAAAACACATTATAGTTTTTGGGTTTTAAAGATAATTTTTTTAAATTTTTTTTTATGGTCATCATCTTCACTGTTTTAGGCAATTACCTTGCTAGGATTTTGACAGAAGCAGTCCTGGGTCTGAATCCTGGCTACACTACTCAGCGGTTGAAGTATGGGTGAGTCGCCTGACCTTTCTAACCCTCAAGAACAGAAAACTTGCCGTTTAGAGCAGTCTTTAAATAAGAGCATTTAAATAAGACTTCTTGACATGCCTGGCACATTGGAGTTCAGAAAGTTTTAGTTTCCATTCCCTGTCTTCACTTTGGCTACTAAAGGAACCATAAATGCCTTTGTTACATATTTGTATCACTCAGGAGAGCCTGCTGTGGTCCAGGAAACAGGTTAAGGTCATAGTCTTAGCATGTGCTCCTGCATTTATCCCATTCAAAACCATCAGATCATAGTTATAACATGGTCATGATCCCCATTTTATAGATATATGTCCTATAGTTAGTGAGTGGAAAAACAGAGATTCCTCTTAAGTTTAACTCCCAGGCCTGTGTGTGCTCTTAAACACGACACTGTACTCTCCCGCTGCAGAGCCATGGTCGTTAGTGGTTTGGGTAGAGAGCACTGCCCTGGAGTTTTCTTGCTGCTGAGGATTCTTGCCTTCCCTGACCTGGAAGCCCAGATCCCTGAAGGCAGATTGCAAACTTTTTTGTCCAAAATTCTACATACAAAAATATTTGCTCAACACAGGTGTTTGCATGCACACACATACGCACAGTGCACTCTTGTATTTATAACCAAACAAAACATCATTCAAAAACAATATTTACCTCTTTACTATGTATAATTCAGTTTCTATTCTATTTATTAAAAACCTAGAGGCCAGTATATGAGAATTCATGCACTAGAGGGGTGGGGTCCCCTCAGCCTGGCCTGCCCCCTCTCAGAGCCTGGGAACCCTCGGGGCAGGAGGTGATCTGGCAATCAGGGGAAAGCAATGCCCCACCACACCTCTGCTGCTGCCACTGCTGGCAACACAAGCCTTGGCCGGCCCTGGTTACCTGAGCCTTGGGGAGCCCTGGGTGCCTGGGCAGCCACGATTTGAGGCTTGCCTGCATCTCAGGCTGGGCCTGGGCAGCTGGAGGACTGAGAGGACTGGGGGCCATCGTGTTGTGACTGTGGGCACCACCATCTTTGAGGGAGAGGCAGAAAATTAGCATATTCCCTCCTTATTGGTTGTGGGTGCTGCCATCTTTGAAGGCAGGGCATTCAATTAGCATATTTCCTTCCTATTGGCTGTGGGTGCTGCTATCTTTAAGGGCAAAACAGTCATTTAGCATATTCCCTCCTTTTTGGCTTTGGACACTACCATCTTTTCTATGGTGTGAGGGTCAATTAGCATAATCCCTCTTTATTAGATAGGATTCTAGTGACTCACTAAACTGATTTCATAACCCATAGGTCATGACCCACATTTTGGGACACTAAGGGGTCCTGACTGGGTTCAGAGAAGTTCTGGGAGATGATGGACCCCACAAAAGGCCTTACTATCATGTTCCCTTCTGGTGTAAAGCTGTGTGTGTGTGTGTGTGTGTGTGTGTGTGTGTGTGTGTGTTTCTGACTTCCTGTGATTACATTACTATGGAGGCAAACCCCTCTGAGTACTCCTCTCGATGCCCCGTACATTTGGAGCCTTCTGGTTTGGCTGATAGGAAGAGATACTACTCTCAGCCTTGTGTGGCCAGGAGCACTGCTCCCTCTAATTCCTGAAGGCTCTCTCTCAGGCCATGCTAATTTCCTCAGAGGCAGGCACTGGTCAGTTCTCAGCTGAATACTCAAGGCGTCCCTCTGCAGATCCTTAGATCTCTCTGTGCATCTCTCTCTTCCCTGTTACTTTGTCCAATGAACTCCAGCTGCCTTGCCTTCCCTAGTCTCTCAGCTTCTTCTCAACCCAGGGAACCCACTGGGCTCTGCCTATATTTCCCTGTCCTGGCCTGGCCTGGCCTTGAAAACCCTTTCAAGGCAGTCAGGTGGGCCAGTCTATAGGGCTCATCTTCTTTGTTTCCTATCTTTCTATCCTTTCCTGTCCGATGTCAGTGTCTTGAAAATTGTTGTTTATATTCTATTCATTTATTGTGGTTGCTATTGCAGGCAGGAGAGTAAGTCTGGTCCTTGTGTTACCCTATCTTGGCTGGAAATGGAAGTCTTGGCATTCCAAATATTCTGAATAGTAGATGTGTTAATTTGGGGGAATAGGATAGAAATGTCTCCTGTTATTAAACCCATAAATTTTCTTTCTGTTTCTCTCTACATATGTTTCATTTATTCATGTAATATCAATTGAACATCTGCTTGGTGTAGACACTATGAAAGGTATAGAGATAGTGGGGCGCAAACAGCCTTCACAATTTATAATCTCTCACGAGTTTGTTAGTCTTTGAGAGTCTGATCATGGAGAAATGGTGTTCCTTGAACTGTGATGCTCAAGACCAGACCCTGGAACCTGGAACATGGTGCCTCCCATTTCCGAGGAACCAGCTGCTCTCTTTCTGAGGTTTTCATTTCCTTTTGCTAACTATAGTACTATTGGTCTTAAATTGTAAAAAAGGAAGTTTCATTTACTTAGCATCAGTGAGTCTTATTATTTTAATGATGAATCTCATTTCAAAGAATGAAGTGCAGAAAAAAACAACATTGTCTGTTTCTGATTATAGCAACAATTGCAACAGACATGTCAGTATCAAAGACGATCTATATCTATACCCATATATGTATGAAGTATTCATAATCCATATACAGTATATGTATAAGTGTGCACGTGTGTGTATACACACACATATATGGTCTGTTAATATTTTTTTCTGAAGTAAACTTTGATGACATGCAATGAAGCAGTTTATGATGTATGAAATTGTTCCTCACAAATTCTAAGATAAATATCTATAAAGTGAATGTTTTCATAAATTGTGTTAAAAATAGTGCTATCCATCTGGCAAAGATACACTTTTAACTTCAAGTTATACTTTAAAAAGTCGACATACTTACCATATGTCTCAATAATTTTAAGGTAACAACTACTTGAAACAAGATGTCTGGGACACATATACAACAGCCAGTTGCCCAAAAAGTTCATCTGTTAACCATTGTTTCTGCAGCATGCATTGCTTTTTTTAAATAGAGACTAAGTTTTGTAAAGCTCAACTTTCTTTTTTTTTTCTTCTGTAAAAGACTGTTCAACATTGACAAACCTTAATCATCTTAAAGTTTAAATGTGTAATATTAAGGAACAATATTCCAGGAAAATCTTTAATTATAATTTACTTTATTTATACATGTAAAACACTGAACAAATGAATATATTATTCCACGGAGACAAAGTGGCCTTTTTTTTTTTTTAAACAGGAACTCTGCTCTGTTTGTTTACTTGGGCAATCTTTTATCAAGTGAGGCAGTTTCATAATCCCATTCAGCCTCGTGTGTACTTTGGTGAACTTTTTCCAGATCCTCTGGTAGTCAGATCCTTATAAGGACATTTGTATTGAAGATATAATACAAAAATCATAAAAACTATGGCAACAAAGAGGATGAATTTATAAAGTGTGTTTTAAAGCTTTGTTTTCTGAAATCTAGATCTGAATTGAATCCTACTAAATTACTATTTTGACATCATGTAAAAGTTTGGTGTCTCTGTATGAGGTTATTTTATCATTACTTTTAATCTAGTTCACCTCTTAACTTGCTGAGTAAAATATATATAAGTTGCCTTCCCTCCCAGGAATATGGGGGATATTATTTGAGTAATGTATATGACAAAAAGCTTTGTGTCATTGATTGGAAAGGAAGTCTTTCCGTCTAAGTTTATGTCTCCTTATTATGGAAAGGTAACAAGTGTTGCCGGTGGTCTGGATGTGGGGGACAATGCTAGTTAGATCACTGTGATGAGGACTTTTGTCTGAAAGAAAATATAAAAAAGTGATCAGATTCAGTTCTTTCTCCCTCAGAGAATCTTGCCAGACCTCTGTGTTCCTATCCAGACACTGAAGCAGTGTGTAGTACATGGCCTCCACAGTTATGTGGTTAAGAAGATGGGAACAGGGTAATGGAAGTAATAATTTTGTAAAAACCAGAATAGAAACTTTGAACAGAAATGGAGAGAGGGTACTGAAGTTAACATGACAAAGAAATGTGATATATGAGAATCATATTAGGGAAATATAGTGTATTAGTTTACTCTGTTCATAGATAGTGTATTATTTTGCTCTCATCTCTCTTTCTTTAATAATTATTACTCCAAAGAAAAATTGATGAATTGCTTTGAGAAAAAGTGCAAGCTATTTTGTGGCTATTGTGTTTTGATTACACGAGTTTCATTCACCATTGTGCTTTTTATATATTTTTCCCATTAGAAAGGAGTGCATTTACCTGAAAAAAAAATCCACAAACCAATATTTGATAAGTCTAATTATAATAAAATTATGCTATAATTTCTGCATTAAATATCTTATCTTATGCTTAACTCAATTGATGTTCCACAGGATCTTGTGAGATCTTTTAACGCTGAAGCTGTCACTGTAGTCTGTCTTTAGTTGATGGGAAGCATACATTACTTACCTTCACTGCTCTTTTTGGTGTTTCAGCCAATATGGGTGGTAGAATTCCCTTGTAAAAACCAAACAACCTGTTGGAAAAATAAAAATATTTTATATAAGTAAGGGAATTACAAAATAGGTAATTCTGCCTTTGTTTATAGATAAAGCAACTAATCTTAAAAAGTATTCCCAACTTTTTAACATAGTCACCAATTTTGAAGTCCTCCTTTATTATATTTTGGTATTTAAAAAAGATTTTTAAAATTGATTTTTAGAGAGAGAGGAAATGAGATGGAGAGAGAGGTACATCAATGTGAGAGGTGAACATTGACCTGCTGCCTCCTGCATGTCCCCTACCAGGGTCAAGCCTGCCACCTGGGCATGTACTCTGACTGGGAACTGAGCCAGCAACCTTTTGGTGCACAGGATAATGCCCAACCAACTGAGCCACACTGGCCAGGCTCTTCCTTTGTTTTAATTCTAAAGTAGACACGTTATGAATACTATGTTTATTAGTATTGTTCAGATGAAGAACAAATGATTCTGAGACTGAAATCTTTAAGGTAAGTTGCTAAATACAACCATGAGCTGAACCTTAAAGATGTAGTTGATTCTCCTTAATCTAAGGAATCTTGAATTTATTTTCTAAGTTGTATATTGGGTAGCTTCAAAATGTCTCTTGTCTTGCATTTTCTCCCTTATGGGAACTAAATGAGGCAGGGTCATTAAACTCAAACTTTCTGAGGCTAACAAGGTGATAAAATCTAAAGTTTAGCTTTACTAACACATGGACCTTTAGTAACAGACCCTATGGCTGTGGACTTGGACTCCTGGGCCTGTCCTGACTTGTCATAATTTTTAAATTCCCTTAATATAAATGGAAATAGGTCAGAGTCATATGTTGCTGACAGAACAAATGTCAAACTCCCTTGCTAATATGCAATTTCACAGGGCCTGGGACAGCTATTCTTGCCTGTGGTGAGGAACTTGTCACATATTCAGAGTTTTTAGAAAATAATGAGTAGATAAGATAAGCTTATGATAGGTATATAAAAGGTCATCACTTATTTCATATTAAATTTTAAGACAGGCAATTTTTAATTTGTCTAACATAAAATCTTTACATATATAGCGTGTCCCCCCAAAATGTATACACATTGTAACAGCTGATAACTCAAACTGTAAAAACTAAATGTGTTTTAATAAACACTGCCTTTATAATTATTCAAAAGTGTGTGTATACATTTTGGGGTACACTATATATACACACACACTAGTGGTCCAGTGCATGAAATTTGTGCACAGAGGAGGGTTCCCTCAGCCCAGCCAGCACCCTCTCCAATTGGGGACATTCCTCTCTCAATCAGGGACCACTGGCTCCTAACCACTCACCTGCCTGCCTGATTGCTTCTAATTGCCTCTGCTTGCCTGCTTGATCACCCCTAACCTCTCTGCCTGCCTGCCTGATTGCCCCCAACTTTCCCCCCTTCCAGCTTAATTTCACCCTCAACTGCCATCCCCTATTGGCCTGATCTCCCCCCCAACTGCCCTCCCCTGCCAGCCTGATCTCACTCCCAACTATCCTCTCCTGTTGGCCTTATCTCTTCCTAACTGCCTTACCTTTGCCAGCCTGGTTGCCCCAAACTGCCCTCCCCTGCCAGCCTTCTCTTGCCCCAACTGCCCTTCTCTGCCAGCCAACTTGGTTCTGATTGATCGGTTTCTATGCCAGTCAGCATCAAAAGCTCTGCCGCTTAGGAAGCCATTGGTTCCTCACACTTCACCCAGATTTGGTTCTGATTGGTCAGTTTCTATGCCAATCAACATTTCTGGGCTTTATCAACAGGGCCTGATCAGAAAGACAGGGCTGATCAGCAGTCTCAGTGGAGGCCTGGAGAGAAATGGAGGGGAGGCTGCTGGTCAGACTGGGAGAGAAAGAAAGAAGTAAGTCCTGATCAAAAGCTGCCATAGAGGCAACGGATCAGTTCCTGCTTCTTTCTTCAGGCCTCTCTCTGGCTCTAATTTGCAGCCCCCTCAGCAGTCAGTCTTGGGGGACCATGCATGCAGCAGAAGCAGTCTGACTGCAGGACTGACTTTCAGTTGGTCTAGCCTCATTACAGGATGGAATGATCCAGGGTTTTTATATATTAGAATACGTGTGTGTATGTATGTACCATATTCTCACTTTAAACCTAGAAATACATACATAAAAGAGCATATTCTGCATTATTTGCTGAGATAATCAGTTGTCCTGATGAACCCACAACTGACTAGAGATAAAGGCAGGACTCAGTGTGTTCCTATGTTAGGATGGCCATTTTACATGGGGTTGGAGATTCTTTTATTGAGCCCTCAAACTTCACTCCAACTTATTCAGATTGGGTTCTGATTCTGATGTGCTTCTGGAATAAGAAAGTTAAGAATTTATTCAGACTAATCCACTGTGCCACCCAATCCAACATGGTGGCCTCTTGCTCTTCCTTAACTAACTGGCATATATAGCACCCTTCAGTGAGGGGAGCAAAAGGCTCATTTTTAAGCTTTTAAACTGTTAGCTCCTTGAGGGCTGGGTGTGCATTTACAGTGCTTATTCCAGACTCTCTCTCTCTCTCTCTCTCTCTCTCTCTCTCTCTCTCTCTCTCTCTCTCTCTCTCCCTCTCTCTTCTCGGTGTGTAAACAGAATATAGTGTTTGATGAATTTCTTAAGAGGGAAAAAAGGAATCAAATAATCTCCTCTTATGGACTTACTGTGCTCACTCATTTTCAGTGAATGAATAGTACTAGCATTATAAATAGGAAGTGAGGCAAATATGTGCTTTGAATAATTATGGGAATTCACAATCCCCTCCCTCCCCACACTTATCTTTTTTCATTCCAATTTCAAATACTAATGCCTGAAATTCACTTGTAAAATTTAAATATCAGCACTCTCTATAATTTCAATTTTATTATAAATTATTATAGTGATTTTCCTGAAGTTCTATGTTTATAATGGAAGATATTATTAGTTCTGTTATTTCTGTGTTGATTTTTCTACATCCAGAAAATTATGCCTGATTATGGAGGAGGGTGAAATTAAGAACATGTAAGTAACTAAAGCTTCTAGAACTGAGTGTCCCAGTTAATAAAGGCACTTGAAATCCCATATAACAGAGAACAGTTATGGAAAGAACAGTTGCTCAGCCTTAAGAAAAAGACCATAGGGAGAAACATGATAATGTGATGGAGCTCTTGGAAGTTGGGCAGGTAGAAAAAACATTAGACTTGTTTGTTTCCAGTGATAGAACTAGGCCCAACAGGCACAAGCAATAAGGAAAGACACATTTTTGTCCCAGTAGGAACTTAATACATGGAAATGCTCCTAACAGTCAGGATTATCTAGAGATAGACGGGGCTCTCCTGAAAAGTGGTGAGTGCCCCTTTGTGGTATGTGGTCCAGCAGTCAAGATGGCTACTTTTAATTGATGCCAGAAATGGGACACACACAGTAATAAATGGACTTTCTGGCCCTCCAGGTCTCCTCTGACCCTCAGATTTTGTTCTTCTACAAAGAAGAACAAGAGATCCCGGGAAAGTTCTTTTCTGAAGAGACAAACTGCCTTACTTCAAACTTTTGCCTAAAGCTTCTCTGGAGGGCAGAAGTCTTATAAGTAACACAGAAGGTCTTCATTTTAAAAATGATGGAAGAAAATATTAAAAAGAGTTGTAAGACAGGAGGAAGAACCACAGCTGGGAGAACCACAAGGATTTAATCTAAAAAGATCTGGGTGGTCAAGACCCTCTGCTTCACGTTGGCAATGCTTCCTGATGCACCCTCCTTCTCTTCTCCCTGCTCGGTCAGGTTCATGTGCAATCACCCTCGTACCTCCAGCAATCACCTCCAGCCTTCCCAGCATCCTGAACTTTCTAACAGTGAGTGGACAGCTTAACAGGAAATTCTCAAGGACAGTAGGCAGTCTTTGCTGGCAAATGGGAAGGTAGAATGATCTACCTCCTTGTAATGTATTCACAAACTTCATGCAATAGTGAACATCTCTGGAATAGTCAGAGATGGCCCCTCTTCTGGTGAGATTGTCCCACCCCATTTTTAAAATAAACACTGCCTTTATAATTATAAAGGAACCAACATATTAGTACAGTGATATTGCTTGTAGGCAGTGGTTGTTTGGGTGCCTTACCAAATGGATCCAAATGCAATCCTGTCTTTTTGCCCCAGTTAATCTGATCTAAGTCAGACCTAGCTGAGTTTTTCCCCCCAGGATTTTGGAATTAGAACTAAAAAAGTGATTCTCCTTATGTCTGCTAGAAGCTCTACAAGCTAAAAAATCAAAGGCAGTCTAGTCTTCTTTGGAAGAACTCAGTGTACACTGATAAGAAGGAAGGAAGCTACCATGTAAGGAAACAGAGGCAAGATGGAGAAGAGAAACCCTGGTACTGGGAGTCTTGACTCTCCTGACAAGACTTATTTAAGCTCAGTTACATCTCAACCCTTGTAAATATTGGAATTTTCCATTGCTTTTGGCTTCCTGAGATACCCAGTTACATTTATGATACACTTAAATTTTTACTTAAATAAGTCTGAGTTGGTTATATTACTTATAACTGAAAGTCCTCAATCTAAAAAGGAAACCTCATGGCCCTTCCTGCCCAAGTGGCTGCTACAGAACCCCAGTTCCATGCCCTCTCACATGAAGAGTCTTTCTGTCAGTTTACGTGGGCCCTTGGGCCAACCAGAAGAGTCACAACCAAAATTTGAGCAAGAAAATGTAGGTAAAAGATCAAGTTGATGAGATATTTTTCTGACTTGATTAGAAAATTACTGTAAGTTTTCCTAATGTAAAGTGTGACATACAGATTCTGAGAAACAAAATGGAATTGTAATGTTTTATGAAGGACATACATTTTTATCTGCTGAAAAACTGATGTTTATATCCACATGCACTGTTCATTCTGCCAAATTTTTCTGCCTTCATGTAGTTTTGCCTTGAAATACAGAACATGTAGCTTACAAGGATAATAATTAGGGAAGTTAAGAGATTCGTGACACCCATATAAACATGCTTTATATGGTTTATTTCTCAAGATTGACACT